GTTATTTACAATAATTTTTGTTTCCTAACTTTCATGGATACATGGTACAAAACAAACACATGGTCAAGGAGTTAGTGAAATGTCAAATTTCAGCAAAACTAAGATGCACATTTAGAAGGAAGGACACAAAATACAGCTATGAAATGCATTTAGCAAAGACAATTAAATTGACAGTAATTGTCTGGGAAGGACCAGAACTGTCTACTTATAGACAAGAATCAGATTGATTTAATTTTCCTATGAGTTTATCATAATATTAAAACTGTGGTCTTTACTTGTGGGTCACACAGATTTATAGGAGCTTTCATGGTTAGTGATTGCTTCTGAAAGCCAGTGAAAAAGCAACATTATGTAGGTGCAGAGCACTGTTTAGAAAACTTTAATTTAGAGTCCAGCACCAGCAATTTTTTTCTGTGATCTTGAGCAAGTCATTCAGTTTCTGTGAACCTCTATATTTTTCTGTAAAAAGGAATTAGAAATACAATTTTTAACCTTACAGAGTTTGATTAAGTGAGAAATCATGAGAGTGTTCAGTACATTGTACACATAAAATAAATGTTAGTTAATATAAATTGTCCTTCCCAATGTCATTTCTTGGTCATATATTTTACTTCCTATTTTTAAATAATGTATTTATTGTTGTTGTCAAGAATACACACAGCATAACATACACCAGTTCAACTATTTTTACCTCTACACTAACTTTCTTGTTTAACGGTAAACTTTAAGCATTTTGTTTCTTTAAAAAGTAAATGCTGTTGTTAGGTACCATTGAGTCAGTTTCATGCATAGTACAACAGACCAAGACACTGTCCTGTCCTGCAGCGTCCTCACTATTAGTGTTATGTTTGAGCCTGTTGTTGCTTTATGGCACCAGTCCATCTTATTGAGGATATTCCACTTTTTGTCCTTTACCATCCACTTTACCATACATGATGTCCTTCTGCAGGAACTGGTCCTTTCCAAAGTGTGAGAGATCATGTCTTGCCATCCACACTTTCAAGGTGCATTATGGCTGTATTTCTTCCAAGATAAACATTTTGTTCCTTGGCAGTCCATAGTATTTTCAACATGTTTCACCAACACCATAACTCAAATGCGTCTATTCTTTGCTCTTACTTATTCATTGTCCAACTTTCACATGCATATGAGGCAATTTAAATGGAAAATTGTAGTTTTCTTCATTGATTTGTCATGATATTCCTTTATTAGATGTATGAATACTAATATTTTTTTCCTCCCTAGACAACAAGTAAGCGAGCAGCCTCAGTCTGCTTCTTTTGTTCCACCAGAGATGCTCACACCATCAGGCTACATAGGACAATTTTTTCAACCAGCATCCAACCCGGATTATTATTCAGAATCTTCTTGCATTGACAGTTTTGATGAAGAGCCTCCTTTACTAGAAGATAAGTTAAGGAAGTGTTATTAATTTTCGTATAGCCTGAAGAATAATAGCAATAATCAGCCCCTAATGTGTGCTGTCAGCCTGCTGTGTACTGTGCTTTTTGCATGTTTGTACCACATATAAATGAGGTTTCACCAAAGGGAGACACTTAAACCACTGGAGGTTTGCTGCATGCTTGCATGGAGCAAATTGATAGTAGCTGTGTTATTGATACAACATTGCTGCTTTTATTAAATATTTTTTTTCCACTCAAATTTGGACAAACTGGACATGTGTAGACAACAGTGAAGACGTTTTAGAAAAAATGTTGTTTCAAAGTAATCATCCCTTCCTCTCAGTTAATGAAGCATTTTATAACAGCATATATTAAGTTGGTAGTTTCTGTTATGTTTGCCTAGGAGACAAAAGAAGGTTGTTTCTCTATTAGTATTTGTTTTTGTCATGCAGACAAGGCTTTTTTTAAAAATTCTTAGCGCCTGTGGAACTTCTCCTCCTACCTAGTCATGACTGGGAAGGGAGGAATGTGATTATTGTTCATTGTACTACTGTTATTGTTAAGAGCTGTCAAGTCAGTTCCAACTCATAGTGACCCTGTATAGGGTTTCCAAGGAGCGGCTGGTGGATTTGAACCACTGACCTTGCAGCTCAAACTGATCTTGTAGCCCAGTGCATTATCCTGTGGTGCCATACCAGGACTCCAAGAAATCGGGAACCTTTACAGTAGTAAGTCCTCAGGATGTTTCAGGGAGATTACATTAATTGATTTTTCATTTTTTAAATTTCCAGTCACCTTGTATCTGCTGCATTTGCTCTGAAATAATGTCAACATGGTGCTGCAAGTAAAGTCGTTAGAAAATTAAAACTCAAGTAGGCTAAATTTTGTGAGTCAAGGAAAAATGGCAGTTTTGGTGGTTGCTCGTCACCAAGTTGGTTCTGACTCATAATGATCCTATATAGGGTTTTCAAGACAGTAAATCTTAACTGGAGTAGAAAGCCTCAACTTTCTCTCACAGAACAATGTTGTTGTTGTTGTTATGTGCCGTGGAGTCGGTTCCGATTCAAAGCGACCCTGTACAGGGTTTCTGAGGCTGTAAATATTTACAGGAGCAGAAATCTTCATCTTTCTCCCGCGGAACAGCTGGTAGTTTCGAACTGCTGACTGTGAGGTTAGCAGCCCGATTCGTAACCACTACGCTACCAGAGCTCCTTTCACAGAACAATAGGTAGATTCAAACTACTGACCTTGCAGTAAGCAGCCCAGCTCATAATCCACTATGCTACCAGGCGTCCTTCAAGGAAATTTACAGGTTAATATTCTCACAATTACTTTCTTTGTAGTCCAGTGAAAAAGAATAGATGAAAATCTCCATCAGGACATTGAAAGATCACTGTTTGTCTTATATGAACATAGTCAATCACCTTTCATTATAACTAAGTCTTCTTTCCTTACTTTAAATATTAAAAAAAAAAGCAAAGATTTAAGCCATTCAGAAAAGCACAAAATATAGTTCATTGACTCTTTAGAAGCCAGTTAAATAATTGTACCAGTTATGTTTAATTGATTCTATTTTGACATTAATAGCAAACACCTGAATGCTATAACATAGTCTCATTAAACATTTTCTTTGACTTCACTAACATCTCCACTTTTTCAAAAAAGCTAATCGTTTTCTAATTATAATAGTATTTCATAATGAATCTGTATTCGTTACATAAAGTATGCCTCCTACCTGTCTCTGACTCAGAGCAACCCTACAACAGAATGAAACAGTGCACTGTTGTCCACCATCCTTTCCCGTATATGTTTAAGTCCATTGTTGCAGCTACAGTATCAGTACACCTAGTTGACTGCCTTCCTCTCTTTGATGACCCTCAACTTTACCAAGCATCATGTCCTTCTCCAGAGACAACTGATAACATGCCCAAAATACATGAGATAAAGTCTCAGCATCTTTACTTTTAAGGAGACTACTGGTTGTATTTCTTCTAAGATAGATTTGTTGGTTTTTCTGGAAGTCCATGGTATTATGACTATTCTTCAACAACACTACAATTAAATGTAACAATTCTTCCTCTGTCTTCTTTTTTCATTGTCCAGCTTTCACATGTATAAGAGGTCATTGAAATTATTATGGCTTGGATCAGAGGCACGTTGGTCCTCAAAGTGACATCTTTGATCTTTCATACTTTTAAAGAGGTATTGTGCAGCAGATTTGCCCAATGCAATACATCCTTTGGTTTCTAGACAGCTGCTTTCATGAGTGTTGATTGTGGATCTATGTAAAATAAAATCCTTTACAACTTCAGTCTTTTCTCAATTAATCATGACATTTGTTGGTTAAGCTGTGAGGATTTTTGTTTTCTTTATGTTGAATTGTAATCCATACTGATGACTGTATTCTTTGATCTTCATCAGTAAATGTTTCAAATTCTCTTCATTTCTAGCAAGCAAGACTGTGTTATCTGCATATCAGAGGCTGTTAATGAAACTTCTTCCAATCCTGATGCAGTATTCTTCTTCATAAATACAAGTCTTCTCAGATACTTCACTTAGCATAAAAATTAAATAATATGGTTAAATGATACAACCCTGATGCACAGATTTTTAAATTATAAACAATGCAGTATTATTTCCTTGTTCAGTTGGAAAAATTGTCTCTTAATGTGTTCTATGTATTCAGGTTCTGCACTAACACAATGAAGTGTTTGGAAATCCACATTTCCCCAATATTATCCATAGTTTGCTATGATCCACACAGTCAAATGCCTTTGCATAGTCAATAAAACACAAGCAAACAAGGCCAGGGACAGACTGTAGAACAGACCATTAAATTGCTCATATACTGAAGTTGAAGAAAATTAAAACAAGTCCACGATAGCCAAAAATGACCTTGACCATATCCCAGATTTGATGCAGTAAATGTTAATAACCAAAGGCCAGAAGAGCTGTGGGATGACATCAAGAATATCATATAGGAAGAAAACAAAAGGTCATTAAAGGGACAATAAAGAAAGAAAAGGTCAAAATGGATGGCAAAAAAATGAAACTTGCTCTCCAGTGTAGAGATGCTAAAGCAAATGGAAGAAATGAAGAACTGAAACAGATGAACAGAGAATATCATAGGGCAGCTCTAGAAATAAAAGTCAAGTATTATAATGAAATGTGCAAAGACTGGAGTTAGAAAACCAACGGGGGAAGAACATGTTTAACATTTCTCAAACTAGAAGGACTGAAGGAAAATTCAAACCTAGACTTACAATATTGAAAGATCACGTAGTGGTTATAAATCGGGCTGGGAACCTCAGGGACTGCTGTTCGAAACTACCAGCTGCTCTGCAGGAGAAAGATGAGGCTTTCTGCTCCCGTAAAGATTTACAGCCTCAGAAACCCTGTCCAGGGTTGCTATGAGTAGGAACCGACTCCATGGCACATAACAACAACAATGGGCTAAAAAATTTTTTAAAAAAATATTCCTGCACAGCAAACCCTCCAGCTGCTCCTTAATTGTATACAGAATTGCTATGAGTCAGAACCAACTTGATGGCACTTAGCAACAACAACCACAATGGGCAAAATATTGAGTGATGCAAAAAAAGCATCAAAAGAAGATGGAAGATTTAGACAAAGTTGCTTTTACTGAAAGAAATAATTGATGATCAACTATTTCAAGAAGTAGCATATGATCATGAACCTATGGTACTGAAGGAAGAAATCCAAACTACACAGAAGGTATTGGCATAAAACAAGCCTCCATTAATTGACAGAATACAAATTGAAATCTTTTTAACAGATAGATGCAGCACTGGTGGCACTCAGTCATCTATATGAAGAAATTTGGAAGATCGCTACCTGATACACCAATTGAATGAGATCCATATTTATGGCCATTCAATAGAGAGGTGATCCTATGGAATGTGGAAATCATCAAACAATATCACGTTCAAGTAAAATTTTGATGAAGATAATAAAAAAACAACCGCAACAGTACATCAACAGGAAATTGCCAGAAACTCAAGTAGGATTCAGAAATAGATGTGGAACTAGGGCTATCATTGCTGACATCAGAGAGGTCTTGGCTAAAAGCAGAGAACACCAGATGTTTACTTGTTCGTATTGACTATGCAAAGGCTTTTGACTGTGTGGATCATGACAAGCTATGGAAAACCTTACAAAGAATGGGTATTTCAGAACACTTGATTGTGCTCATGAGGAAACTGTACACAGGCTAAAAGGCAGTTGTTAGAACAGAACAAGGGGATACTGAATAGTTTAAAATTAGGAAAGGTCTGTGTCAGGGCTTTATTATTTCATCATATTTATTCAATCTTTATGCAGAGCAAATAATTCAAGAAGCTGGATTATATGAAGAAGAGCATAGCATCAAAATTGGAGGAAGACTCATTGACAATCTGCGATATGCAGATGATGCACATTGCTTGCTGAAAGCAAAGAGGACTTAAAATACATACTGATGAAGATCAAAGACAACAGCCTTCAATATGGATTGTGCCTCAGTGTAAAGAAACCAAAAATCCTGTCAATTTGACCAGTAAATAACATTGTGATAAGTGTACAAAAGATTGAAGTTTTCAAAGACTTCATTTTGCTTGGATCCACAGTTAAGACTCATGGAAACAGCACTCAAGAAATCAAACAATGTATTGTATTAGGCAAATCTGCTGCACAAGACTCTTTAAAGTGTTCATGACCAAAGATGTTAGTTTGAGGACTAAGTTTAATTGACCCAAGGCATGATATTTCTAATAGCCTCATATGCATGTGAAAGTTGTACAATGAATACAGAAACCCATAGAAGTGATGCATTTGAATTATTTTGTTGGAGGAGAATATTGAAAGTGCCATGGACTCCTAGAAGAACAAACAAACTTATATTGAAAGAAATACAACCAGAATGCTCCTTAGATGAATGGGTGGAGAGACTTTGCCTCTCAGACTTTAAACATATTATCAAGAGGAACCAGTCCTTGGAGAGGGACATTATACTTGATAAAGTG